TAATAATATAAAGTATTTTTAAAAAAATTCACAATTATTCTGTTTTTTTGTTGTTGCTGGATTAACATTTTCTATCAACAAGCATTTATTATATAAAGCTTGGATCACTATTTGCACCACCAGCATAATCTTCAACACGATTTCCATCAGCATCAACAGTTTCAATTTTTGTTCCACCACTTCTATACACAATTTCGCTTTTAGTTCGAACTTTGATTGTATCAGCTGGCTCTTCAAGAAATTCATTCAATGCTTCTGAAAGTGTTCGGTCAGGTCGACAATTCTAAATAGAAAAAGACTTTCGAACAATTCTTTTCTTCATTTTCATTTATCATACTTTAGGTTTCTCACGATGTGTATTTACAGCATCAATATTTAAAGGTATACATTCCATTAAACATCCATAAGCCATTGGTGTTAATTTAATTACTGTATGTAATGGTACTTTTGTATATGGAAGATCCTCTAAAAAATATTTTTAATAGAATAATATTAAACCTAGATAATTAATATACCAGCATCTTTGTTAAGAAAATAAGCAAGTATACAACGTGCAACAGCTTGATGACAAACTACAAGAACATTTTCAGCTCGTTCTAATTCCATTATAACTGGTTCAAGACGAGCAACAAGATCTTGATATGACTAGAACAAAAAAAAATATAAGTCAATGACCCTCATTCTCACTGTATCTAGGGATGCGCAGTTTCAATGCGAATACTGGCACCGGGTTCACTGATGCTGTGGATTCACCTGGCACCGTTGGTATCCGGGCGATTCCACTGCATCAGTAGGCCCCGGTGTCAGTGTTACGGTGCGTCACTGTCGGTGCTGACAGTGCACGGTTTACTGAAACTGCACATCCCTTACTGTATCTTCACTTTTCCTAAATATCTTTTATCTACTTTCGTCTATCCTCTCTTTCTATTCATATTACCTCTCCACCAGGATAACGATAATAATATTTTCCTTGATCACGAGCAGAAAATTCATCTGGATAACGTTCACCTATTTCAAAATAAGTCAAACCTTCACATATACCCTGAAGAAAACAAATAAAAATAAAATAAATTCTTTTGTCAATATATATTTTTACCGCATTTATTTCATTCAAAGCTTTCCATTGTTCTTTTGGTGCATCGATTTTTGAAGCTGTTTGAATAGTTCTTTGCATTTGACTTGTCCAAACAATCAAATCCGGAATATTTTCTATTCAAAAAAAAAGAAATAAAATCGAAGTGCTTTTTCAATCAATTTATTTACCAGCATCCATATAATCTGCAAGTGCATCACCATACTAAACAAAAAAAAATACATGTCTTACAAAAATAAAAACACGAAATTATTACCGCTTTTCCTTGAGGTGATAATGGTGAATCTCCACCAATACGTTGTTGAACATTTAATTCGGATTC